ATCTCGTTTTTAGAGGATAAGCTTCGCAGAAAATTATGTTCGGCCGCACTTACGGTCGCTAATGTATAGCCACTTTTAATTATAAGATCGTTCGTTTTGATAGCGGAGTTTTATAGCGCGTGAGATGAAATAGGAAAGTTGTATGGAAGACTGAGGGAATAGACAGCTGAAATAGTGGAATAATAAATTAGTGGACAGAGAAATAATAACATAGTAAAATGGCAAAATAAGATTTTGAAGAACAACACTGATATTCAGTATCAAGGTCCAACATGTCTGATCTCCAACCCCAAACTTTGAGACACTAAACTATTATAATTAATAATTACTAATTTCTCTGCATCACATACTACCCAATAACCTACCCAACATACTACTCAAGTACCATAAAATTAATAACCCAGAATTATACTAAAATCCACAAATCTTCAATTCGAAAAGACAAATCATTCGCCCACCTCTCGTCAGCCATCTTGTCTCCGCGATTCTCCGAATGTATCGAATTCTTCGGGCAGGAAATATCGCCCCATCGATTATCAATATTACATCTGCCGTTCGTGGAGGCATCAAATAAACACTTTATACCGGACCAGCCTCGACAGGAATTTAATGACCGCTCGTTTCGAATTTGACGTCGTCCAATATACCACTTTGATTAATAATCCGAAAACAGAGTCTTTAATGTCCCGGAACCGTCAGGAATGTATTCCACAGCGGGCTGACAGGGAATGCTAGTTCACGAGCATCGAATCGCGAACGTGACATAAAGGAATTAGGGTAGGAACATCTGTTTGGAGAAACATAGTGCGCGAATGATCTACCGTTGCGTTTGCTGCTAATTGCTATTATCCTGGAAGAACGCGATTGTTATACGATACCATTGATTGGTCGAAGTTGCGTTAGGGGTAGATTGGGTTAGGTTAAGGTTAGGTTGGGCCTCGGGAGCGATATGGCGTCTGGTGCGTCGTTTTAGGTTATGTTTCAGAAAATTACTGGATCTTTTTGTTTGGGAATTTGACCTTTTCTAGCTTCAGACTTTTGGTCTAAACCTAGACAAAAATTAAAATTATTAATACATTGAATTTAGTAGCTTTCATTAGTAAATTTAACAAATGTATAAGGTTGGGGATTCTAAAGATAGAAATTAAAAAATGTTTCATTGTAGACATTTGCAAACTTGAAAATTTAGTTACTAGACAAATCTAACAGCAAATCTAGAAATCCGAGAATCTAAAAAGAGACGAATCCATCAATTTGTCCGATACAGTATTCTTACAGCGAATGTTTACGAACAAATGTCCGTAAGCCAAGGTTCTATAGCTATTTCCATCAACTCGTTAACAACGGAATCAACACCCGAAACGATATGACAGCACATGGAAGTAACAAAGTCACTCAGGGCTGTCTTTGTTACATCTGACTGTAGACATCGGTAGAATATCTTCCGACGAGCGAGTTGGCTGTAGCGACAAGTTAACCACTCGGTAAAATCGTCGACGTTTGATTGGCAAAGCAAACACTGTTCGGACGACTCCTGTGAAAATCATCTCGTTGAAATCTTCAGCGTTGCCGGTGTAGAATCGAAATCTCCTCTACTTCAGAATGGAATAGACATTACTTAGTTGCATCTACTATTCCAAAAATACCTAGCCGCATTACACGTGTCGAAATTAATCAAGATCTCAGAATATCCAATCGCAATTCAGAATATAATTATATAATTTAAGAAACATTCTGGTCACATTACTTTTGAGATCGCATAAATAATCTCGTGCGAGATCTCGTTTGTTTGGCAATATGAGAGTCTATTTCAAATTCATGGTTACTCGAACCTACAGGAAATCTTAATATTTCAATCCCAATTAACAAGGTATTATAAATAAAAATTCACACAACTCTCCATCACATTATCAAATTTAAGTACAAGTAATTAGATATCAGCAAGTTTATTTGATTTACTTAAGTAATCGTAAAATTGTGAAATCAGAAGTCTAAACCTGAGAGTCTACTTCAAATTCATGGTTCCTCGAACCTACAGGTAATCTTAATATTTCAATCCCATTAACAAGGTATTATAAATCAAAATTCACACAATTCTCCATCACGCTATCAAGTACAAGTTATTTAGGTATCAAGTTTATTTGATGTACTTAAGTAATCCTGAAATTGTGAAATCAGAAGTCTAAACTTGAATATTCAATGAGGCGTCACAGGAACCGAAATTAACATAACGTTGCCCGGTGTATATTTAATAAACATATTAAGGGTAGCCGAGTGTTTTCTTTGCATTTTCCGGCCAACTTCGCCCGTTACACTCACGTTGTCGATTTAGACGGCGGGTCTCCTCGTTTTCTCATCCATGTCAAGACTGCTCGTTATCCGCGCGGAAAGCGATAGACATACACCCTCGCTTGACAGAGACCGATGTCGGGTGTAAAGCGTTTTGCTTCTATCTGCTTTGCCACTCGCTTTCACTTTAGAAGCAGTTGCGTCAAACTACATCTTGAGATACTATTAACAGATAATTACATATTGTTTTTTACATTAATATCGATATTTTCTTGTAAAATGGACATTCTACTATCGATACATAATGTCAGTGAACATGTGTAAGTTACAAAATTGATTTTTGTCCCGCTAGATTGGTCAAACGACACACTGTGCGACTGCTCGTAAATTACGCGCTGTTTCTCCTGCCTCCGCTCCTGCGTTGACGGCTAGAAACATCGCCGCCATGAAAAATTCGACCTAGAACGCCATTAACACTCGGACATTGGACCGTTCTGACGCTTGTCAGCAATGGCCCGGTTTTGACCCGTTGGACAAGGATGTATTGGGTTGTTTTGTAGAATTATTTGGGATTTTGTGGGATATGTTAGATAGGGTTAGATAGGGTTAGATAGGCTTAGATAGGGTTACATGGGGTTAGATAGGGTTAAATAGTTTGGGGTTACATTGTCGAACATGGTTGCAGTGACCAGATCTGAAGAGGTTTGAAATTTTCAAATGTAGGGACCTCGGAATTTAAGAACTTAGGAATTGGCGATTTGAGAATTTGAAGACGTAGGAATTTGTGGATGTAGAAATTTGAGGACATAGGGACTTGAAGTCATAGCTATTTGAGGACATATAGAACTGAAACAGTTCAATACTTGAGAACTTAAAAATTTGTGTATCTGGAAATTTAGAAACTTGAGAACTTTGAAGTCTAAGAATTTCAGAATCTGAGAGTTTAAGACTTTAACCTAATCTAATCTAACCAAGTAATTTTATGGCTTGGCAATTCAATGAGTCTTGGGAACTCAGAAACTTGAGAATTACAGAATATCCGAATTTGCAAACTTCTAATGTTTCCTCATCATCCCCTACAAACGCATAACCTATCTCTAACAATACGTGTGCAACAAAAATAAAAAAGTCGTACTGTAAGTTTTCAAAGGGACGTCGCCATTTACCCGAATGTTTACGATGGGTTGGTATAAAAATTTCGCTGGTAAAAGAGGCGTATGGTTCGGGTGTGCGAACACGATCGTTAAAGCCACGTGTTTGGCACGAGGATCCGCTGGCGTGGAATCGCGTATCGCGTGCAATTTACAATCACTAAAATTAGATATTTAATCCTGCTCCGGTATGGGTAGATCGGTATCGTCTCTGATACTCTCGTAAATTCACCTCCGCACGATCGGCTTATCATTATTATTATTATTTATCGAACGTGCAACATAAGCGGCTGCGACAGAAATTTTCACGTCTCATGAGAGAGTGACGGTAGAATTCACTTGAACTACTTCCGGCGTAGAAATCGACATCATAAACGCTCATAATGCTATTTAATGGACCACGAGACCGGTACTAGAAATTTGCTCAAACGTTAATTCCGAGATGGTTTAAACTTCAGCTGTTAGTTAGCATCGCATAGCTCCTGTCATATATTTCATCGTAGCAGACAGAAACCGAGAGAAAGGACACTTTCCACAAAGAGTAACCTTTGTTACGTTCGCACTACCGTCTGCTCTTCGCTATTTTTTTCTATTTTGCCATTAGTACATGCTGATAAATAAGAGCAGCTGTGGACATTTATCTTTGAGCAATAGTACAGGAACTGTTGGGAACAACCGATGCACAGAATCGTTTCCGTGGCTTTGTTTACTGCTTGACAATCACACATTATATTTTATATTTTATGTACCACATAAATACAATTAATTTCATTTTAATTTATTGCCAAAGTCACTTACACGCATTTGGTTTAGTCTGTTCTTAAATTTCTCTGCCAAAGGACATATGTGGACAACTGTTTTTTACTATTCCTTCAAGACTTGTTTATAAAATTAGAGACTGAAGTTTAAAATTAATTTAAGAGACTGAAGTTGAAAATTAATTTAAAGACATTTATAGTCGTACGTTTAAAAAGGAACCTGAAGAGGTTCACTGATTAATTTACTTCATATTTATAAACCTTTAAATTGTTTATAAAATTAGAGACTGAAGTTGAAAATTAATTTAAAGACATTTATAGTCGTACGTTTAAAAAGGAACCTGAAGAAGTTAACTGATTAATTTACTTCATATTTATAAACCTTTAAATTGTTTATAAAATTAGAGACTGAAGTTGAAAATTAATTTAAAAGACTGAAATTGAAAATTAATTTAAGAGACTGAAGTTGAAAATTAATTTGAAGGCACTTATAGTCCTAAGTTTAAAAAGGAACCTGAAGAGGTTCATTGATTAATTTACTTCAGATTGAAGTACGCCATATTGAATTGTTAACCTAACCTAACAAATATATATTTTCTTCTTATGTTTAGTAAAGTAGTGTAAGTAGTAAAATAGTATGATAGAATCTAATGATACACAGTAATTTTGCTTCAAGAAATTATTTCTGTAAACATTACTTAAAATTTTCAAACGAAGCTTCCTTACGAGCACAAAATGGCCGCCCACCTAAAAAAGAGTCAAGCAAAATTTGTCAAACGCGAGCCGTGGATTAAAGGGAAACTGCAATAAAGGGAGTATTGTGCGGAATAAGAGCGGATCAGGCATTATCAATCATTCGAAGCGTGCAATTAGAAGAGGACAAGCCTTTCCTCGGTTCTGCGCGCGGCACATGGTCGCAATTTACTTTGTTCCAGCCTTTTGCGAGGATTGTTGGAAGCGTGTAAACGCATACCACCATCCATTCTTCTCTTTGTCATTTTCCTTTCCACAAGAAGAAATGGCGCGAGTGACGTTGCCTACAATGTCGTCGAGTGATCGTTGCCAAGCGGTCGCGTTTCAAAATTATTCCCAACTACGCAGTCTCATCCGAGTAGAACTAACTGATTTAAAGACGCAGAGGGTGATCGTTATTAACGAAACATAGTCGGTTCGCGGGTTGCTTCCAGTATGACTCTCCGTTTCTCTTGCGGCCACCTCTCACTCCAAAGATTTACGAGCAACCAGCTCTACTTCGAGAAGAAACTCTTGAGCGGAACAGGTGAACCCTGCTTGCGAACAGCCTGCTTATTTGACGGGCGTGTACAGTTTAAGACTTGATTTGTGCCAGTTAGTTGTGATTAGTACCGACAGTGAGCGTGATGCGCTGTTTATTCTCATACGATCTTTCGGCCATCACTTTTGACCCGGTTATGGACATATGACGAACGAGTGCTGGAAGATTGGTCGTGTAATGTCGTTTGTTAACGGCGATTCGGAGAGGCAGGTGTTGTGATGTGTTGGGAGGATGTCGACAAACATCGACGTGGTAGATTTGAATGGACACTTTTTCGGGTGGGTTTTAGATGTTTGAGATGGTTGGATGATGTTTTATGATCGAAGTACTTGGATTTTAGGGGGTTGTTTTTTGTATTGTGAAAGATTGATGTATTATGAAGGAAGCCAGAGTTATTGTCTTCCCAAATATCCAAATCCCCAAAACTTGAAATCTTGAAATCTTGAAATGTTCAAACCTTGAAATCTTCAAATCTTGATATCTCCAAATCTTGAAATCTCCAAACTTTGAAATCCCCAAATCTTCAAATCTAGAAATCTCCAAATCTTGAAATCTTCAAACCTTGAAATCCCCAAATCTTCAAATCTAGAAATCTTCAAACCTTGAAATCCCCAAATCTCCAAACCTTGAAATCCCCAAATCTCCAAACCTAGAAATCTCTAAATTTTGAAATCTCCAAACCTTGAAATCCCCAAATCCTAAAATCTAGAAATCTCCAAACCTTGAAATCTTCAAACCTCCAAATCCCCAAATCCCCAAATCCCCAAATCCTCAAATTCCCAAATGCCCAAATCCCTAAACTCTCTGCTCCTTAACTCCCCACGTCCCTAAATTCTGCACCCTCCACTCTCAATACCATCTACGTAGTAACTATCTTGAATACCAAGATGACACCCACAAATTAACGTTACACTTTAATACGCTTTATGACGTCAGTTGATGGACAAAACACGCGAATTCATCCTGCCACATAATAGTCTAATATCTGCCAAGAAAAGCGAAGGATAAACGACGTTTAGGAATCGTAAATCAGTGATACTGGTCACACAGACGCTTCAACGAGAGAATTACTATAGAACTATTAAAAATTTCCATTTGACGAAACGATGTCATAGTGTTGAACGTTTTAACGATTTAAGGGACAACCTCGAGTTATGTGGATTTAACGAGTTTGTTTGAGGATGATATACGACTTGTTACGCGCCATTTGATCTCTTTTGTTAGGTGGGTACACTGCGATATTATTGTCAGCTGTTTGATGATCACAAAAGGTGCCATCTTTGATAAATGTATTGATATTTTATTGAATGTTACTTGTGGACATCTTATACGATTTTTTATTTTTTTATTTTGACAAGAACAATGCAGTATTAATTTTTTGAATCACCAAATTTTTCTGCTGGAAGAGTTGCAAAAATGTCGAACATGTCTTCCATATTTTTATTTTATGCAATAGTTGATTACAGCACAAGTAACCGTGCTAACGTATCAAAATCTCAAACTTCCAAAAACCTAAATTGCAAAAGATAAAAAATCTCAAGTTACAAAAAACCTAAAACCCCAACGTGAAACACTAAAGTTCTGAACCGTAACCTAAACCGTAATCTGAAACATAACCTCAATCTTACCGATCGGAAGCAGAGAAGTAAAATGCCAAATCAGTACAAAGAAAGCAGAAAGAGAAACGGCAGTTAAAATCGTTCAGTTACAAGAATCGCGTGTAGCGAGTAGAATGCACGTACTGTAACAAGAAGAAGGTAGAAATTTAAAGGTACAACGAGAGGGCGAGACATTTGATCTACACAATGTTTGGAAATGATCCTCGGCGAGCCTCGGAACATGGTTGCAGCGCACCTATTTTTGTAGAACAAGATTCTGTGCTTAACACGTCGGGTAGGAAATAGCCTGGGGAATTGCTCAAACAAACGATTCGTTTGTCGGGGAACAAAACGGAGTTACTTAAATCGAGGAAACTAAGGGTTTCGTGTTTGGAGCGCGTTTAAACGGGAACGAAAAATGGCCGACCAGAACCATCTGCTCTCTTCAAGGTTCCTGAAATTCGATCATTTATTTTTATATTCTTAAAAAATAGATATTTTGTGTATGTGGTTACATTGTGATGCGTTAAACGATACGCTATTTCGTTTGTTTCGAATAAATCGAGCAGACAAGTCGTTAACGGAAGATCACAACGGGCCATTTTGAAGGCAGACTCAAGTGCTATCAAAACGACGGAGACCGATGCAACCAGATCGAAAATTAATGTTCATCTTAAAAGCTTCACCTCGAACGGTCAGTGAGAAATACACTTCAACAATTCACGATAAACCCGGGCACGAAATCGACAGAAGGTCGATGTAACAGCACCGTCGCTCGTAAAACAGCGGAATCAAAGAAGCGGCGATTTACGAGTGGCTAAAATTGTAGGAAACCATGTACCATTGGTTCTGTGAAATCTACGCTTGTATCGCTTTTGTGAATATGATGTCAAGATAGTTTTCGGAGGGCTTTCGAGAAGGTTAGTTGGAGATTTTGGGAATTTGGAATTTGAGGATTTAGGAAAAGGGAAATTTTTAATTTGGGGAGGTGAGGATTTGGGGATTTGAGAATTTGGCGATTTTAGAATTTGGGAGTTTGAGAATTTCGGGATTTAAGAATTTGGGGATTGGAGAATTTGAGGATTTTAGAATTTAAGGATTTGAGAATTTGGGAGTTTGAGAATTTGAGGATTTGAGAATTTGAGAGTTTGAAAATTTGGGGATTTGAGAATTTGGGGATTTGAGAATTTGGGGATTGGAGAATTTGGGGATTGGAGAATTTGGGAATTTTAGAATTTGGGGATTGGAGAATTTGGGGATTTGAGAATTTGAGGATTTGATAATTTGGGAGTTTGAGAATTTGGGAATTTTAGAATTTGAGGATTTTAGAATTTAGGGATTTGCTAATTTGGGATTTTGCAATTTGAGAATTTGAGAATTAGGGATTTGCTAATCTGGAATTTGGTATTTGGGAATTTGAGAGTATAGGAATTTACTAATTTGGGATTATAAAATATGGAAATTTGAAAATTTAGGGATTTGCTTATTTGGGATTTAAAAATTTGGGGATTTGAGAATTTAGAGTTTCAACAATTTGAAGATTTGCTAGCTTGAAATTTTGTAATTAAAAAATTTTCTAATTTAAGGATTCAGTACCTGAAAATCTTAAGATTAGAAAATTTCAAAATTTAATAAGTTTGAAAATTTATAAATTTGAACGTCTTGAAATTTAAGAGTTACCAAAACTAAAGATCTGAGAATTCCATAATGTATCAAAGACCTCGTAAAAAATATTTCCTGATTCATTGTATATTTTGTGAGCCTCCAGTTGTTACACAGTATAAAAGTAAACGTTTACGCGACTATAACGTAACTCGTAGAAGCACGCGTTTGGCACGAAAATACCTCTCAAAATTCGCAAATCCATAGGAACATGTTATAAACTACACACACTTTGGCGCGTACCTAAATTCTATATCGATAAGAAAGAAACTCCATCTTTTACCACTGAAGTAGCACAATCTTGCTATAAATTTGTATAATTTTCAGTGCTTTTCCCTCAGCTTTCTACGTTAATTTCCAGTAGAAATAGAGCATCACGCGGCCTCAGAAGCGGAGAACAAATTTAACGCCAGACAGAAAGCTGGACTCAAATTACGATTGCGGCATAAGGAAAAAGCACGAAGAAAATGTTTCAGAGGTCCTCCAGCAAATTACGCGGAAGTAGCCAGGGAATGTGTCGAAAGTACGTGTCGCTCCAACGAGAAATCCTGCGCGCAGTTATTTCCGTCTATGTGGCCCCGGCATCCCCGTCCAAACACCCTCGCTGTAAGTCGCTGCAACACGTTCTACCATAAGGGCTCTCATAAATATCATAAGATGCCTTTGGCTACGGTTGTCAACGCTGCACGGCCTCCATTTTCGGTCTGGAACTGTGGAGAGTACTTGGAGATTAGTTTGATTGAATACTATCGTTAGATCGATGGAGAAAATGGAGACTGTACTTGGATCGATCGGAAGTATCGAAAGAAAATTATACGGAAAATTGGATAAAATATTTGTTGACCATGTAAGATCATTTTGGAAAGGTATCTCTGTGATTATATGTATAGAAATATAGATTTGTAATCATTTTCTGAGTTGAAGTAATTATGAAGGATTATTGTAACTTGGTTGTCTTACTGCAACACGGTCATCTTCATTTTTTAACATTTTTGGGTTAGGAAGTATTTTAGAGATTAAAAGAAATTGTTTGTTGGAAATTTGCTACTTTAGTAATTATGTAGAGATGTAGCTTTATAATCATCTTCTAAATGCTAATAACTGAAGACTATGAAGGGTAGTTGTACACCTTGGTACTCTAATGGCCATCTTCTTTTTCTAGCATTTTTATGTTAGCAAGTATTTTAGTGATTAAGAAAAATTGTTCATTGCAAATGTATTACTTTAGTAGTTATTTAGAGGTACAGCTCTGTAATCATCTTCTAAATGCTAATAAGTGAACATTATAAAAGATAATTATACACCTTGATACTAGAACTTGAATATGAGCAAACATGATGAAGTATGATTGAACACCTTTATATTAGAACTTGAATGTGAGCAAACATGATGAAGAATGATTAAACATCTTTGTATTAGAACTTGAATATGAGTGAACATGATTTAGAATGATTGAACACCTTCATACTAAAACTTGAATATGAACAAACACGATGAAAAATGATTGCATCTTGATACAACTAGATCTTCATGTTTGACCATTTTTATTACCAAAGTCTATTAACTATCTCACATATAAAACTACCCTGTGCAACAACCCTATTCGTAGAATCTTCAAACTTTTGTTTGTCAAACCTACTACACCCATTCACCTGTCCCCCATTCACATGAAACATACTTGACACTAACGAAGTAAGATCCTAAGAAATATGAAAGGTTCACTTGGTCCCGCGAGATCTTGAAATACTTATTTTATCGCGTAACTAGCCTGCGAAAGAGAACTCGTTTCACGTGCTCTTTTCGAACCCGTGTGCAAATCCGCAGGAAGTGAACGCGGTCGAGGGAAATGTGTGTGTACGTGTATCGAGTTTTGGCCGTGTTCCAATCTACATTTCTGATCGTTTAAACGAGAAAAACTCGAGACATCACATGCTCGTTTTTTTTTTTCGATAAAATCGATCTCTGATAAGGAACTTTTGCCTGCAATCGTCATTCTTTTTAGATAGATCTTCTAAAAGATAGGAAATGTAGCGACGCACGGTACTTGATAGACTTAAGCACATTAATTTTATTCATTAATATAATGATGACGTTAATTCTATAAATATGTGAATACACCTACTATGCGAATAACTTGAACATTTTGTATATAATTAAAATTTTGTACAATTTTGTATAATTAAAATTTAGAAATAATACTTATCAGTCAAATAAAGGAAAAAGTATACTATAAATATGTTGTAAAGCTATTTTTTTCAGAAGATTTTTTAGCAGCCAATGTAGAAGAGGAACATAAATCAAATAGAAACTCGCAAATATCGTTAAACAGAATCAACGATGGTTCTCGTTGTTTCAACCTACCGTGTTTCGAGGCTCTTGAGTGCTTTTCGGAACGAGGAATTCGTAAATATTTCGCTCACACGCTAAAATAAAGTTCATCGCAGACCGAGTCAGCGCTTGTAAGTCTTCGTGGCTGATTCATCGGTTCAGCACTCTGTTCGATGAAACAATTTTTCTCCTACTTTGCCACGGTTCTCTTCAAAATTCGCTGACTAGCGAATTCATTCGTAGAATTAAATTTAAATTTCGTTACGAAAATAAAAACATCGGTGTATTAAAAAATCTTTCATAACGTCCTTCGATAAATCTTGAAATACTCGAAGAAACATTTAAAATTTTCTTTATGTACACTAGAAGGAATGAAAACAAAGTGCCGCACGATATTTCCATAAATTACGACAATAAATTTGCTTTCCATTCCGTTTTATCTTGGGTGTTGCACTCGCACGCGAACGTGCATGGCAAAACGCAAGACGTGACTTCGTGTACGAAGGCAAGAAACGAGCCTATCTCGTTTCGCGATATTGCACCCTAATCGCGGTAGTACAGCTCGATCCCAAAGGACTCTGTTTAGAGCTTTTACGGAAATCACGGCACCGTTAATGACGCAAAGATACGTTTGATCGATATTACGCTCGTAATTTTCGTCCTATTTAAATCTTGGCAGCTTGTGTAGCGAGTAGATTTATCGGCCGACAATTGCACGCGATTCGGCCATATTTCCTTTATTGCTTTATAAAGTTATACCTGCATGCTGCATTCAGTATTTCTAAATTTTACAGTTCATAAAATCTTAACATCAAGTGATACAACTTTATATATTACTTAATATTTTACAATATGTATTTTATAATTAAAGACTTTTAATGAAAATGTATGTTTTATTCTACCACCTGAATGAATCAATTTTTGGCGCTTTTTATGAAGCGTTCATAAATAAAATCTTAACATCAAGTGATATAACTTTATATATTACTTTGTATTTTGTAATTAAAGACCTTTAATAAAAATGTCTGTTTTATTCTACCACCTGAATGAATCAATTTTCGCGCTTTTTATAAAGCGTTCATAAATAAAATCTTAACATGAAGTCACACAACTTTATACAATTACTTTCAGTGTTGGGCAGTCGTGAGATTTTATCGCACGCGAGAGCTTTATGCGCATGCGTCAACTGACGTCACAGCTTGCTGCCAATGCCGTACCTAGCCGGTACACGCAGTGGTGACTGAAGAGGGCACCTGGAAGATCCTACATAATTTTTCAAAAATTCTTATAATTGCACTGTAAACTACGAATGTATAGGTTGGGTTAGGCTAGTTATATATATGACTGTATAAAACTATACAACTCTCTCTCTCTATATATATATATATATATATATATATATATATGTAGTATGTATGGTATAGTATAGTATATATATATATATATACTACACTATATATACTATACTATACTATACTATAGTATACTATACTATACTATAGTATACTATACTATAGTATACTATACTATAGTATACTATACTATAGTATACTATAGTATATATATATATATAGTATATATACTATACTATATGTATACTATACTATACTATATATATACTATACTATACTATACTATACTATAGTATACTATAGTATATATACTATACTATATGTATACTATACTATACTATATATACTATACTATACTATACTATACTATA